AACGATAAATCAAAAAACTGCCATTGTTACGTCATTCTAAGCAAGTTAATATCTCTTATTTCAAAAATTAAACTAGCAATTATTATGCTAGTTCGAAAGAAAACTGTACCGAAAGTTACTATTAACCGCAGTAATTTCAGATTTTCATAAAAATTTTTATCAAATGCACCCCGACTATGATTTGATTTACTAGTATTTTGAACACCCTAATGGGTCATGCTACGTTACACCTGATCTTGAAATTTGATTGACTAGCGAAATTTTTTAGGATATAAATTTGCAGTCTATCCGGCTCTGTTGATTTACGTGTTTATGACGTTCTATTAATTTTGCTACATTTCATATCTAAAGACACCACTTATAATTTCTAAAATCGAAAAAAAATTCCTAAAACCTAAAAAATGGATTATTAGCGAAAAAAAGAAGAGTTATCCGAAAGGCAAAGGAGGGTTTTGGAAAAATTCAAGTGGATTCTCAAAAGGACCCATGATTAGTTTGGCAAAATTCCACTAATTCGCCTCAAAAAATAGGTGATTATACGCTTTTTTTTTTTTTATTAACAAAAAATTGATATCAACCATGTATTTTACATGACATTATTTTAACTGCTTTATTTCAGGGAAAAGAGACGAAAATCCTAAGAAAAAAAGAAACCTAAACTCATAGCAGTTTTATATAACTATAAAATATATAATTTTATAATTCTTTAGGTTTCATATGATGATTAAATAAATTTAATACTTTTTAATTTTTAAAGCTGAAATATCAACATTACGAGTGGACTTCGCACCAATTCCTCCCATTGAGTCCCGATTTTTGAAGAAATGGCTGTTGGTTACTTATCACATAGTCTGGAAAATCTAGGAGACAGTGCACTTGAGCACTATCTTTTTAAAATTGCCAAAGCTAGATATCTTTCTAATTACTCGGTGAAAGAAAATGGCTACCAATAAGATATTGGCAGACTAGGCTCTCACGAAAACAAAATAGGCTCTCACAAAAACGAAGTAGGATCTCACAAAGTAGAATCTCACGAAGTAGGATCTCCCGAAGCAGGATCTCCCGAAGCAGGATCTCCCGAAGCAGGCTGGCTATACCATAATGCTAGGCCTGCATAAGCTAAACAGTATGATATTCACAAATGTAAAAAAGTTTCATGGGGATGCCTTTGAAGCGTACATCGGTGCATATTATCTTACATGTGGGAACAAATTATCTGCGAATATTTGGAGAAATTAATATAACATTATCATCAAAAAAGTGGCATCGGATTTATCCGGTATCTAGATAGTTTTTGGTATATAGAAGATAAAGGGAATAAAAATATACCTAAATAATAATTAGGATAGCGAGAATAAATTAGATTCAAAATATTCTTTTATATGTAAAATTAAATATATAAGGGAGTTTTTCTCCCGTAATAAAGATAACTCAGAGTTTAACTGATTTCTCGATAAGTCAAATTCGTATAGAATTAGTGCAGTCTAATCCTGTGATCTCGAATTAGAGAGGTCTTCCACAACTCTTTTGTAGCCTGCCAATATTAGGGTTTGAATAGGGTTTAGTTGAGTATTAGTTGTGTTTATATCTTCGTATATTTTCCGATTCCGGAGCAGTTAGCACTTTCTCAACGTACTGCAGTATTACTTGTTTATTAAGTTACAGACTTAAACGCAGACCTACCCAGTGTTATAAATTCAAAAAATTTTTATTGGCGCAAATGCAAAAAAATGTGCACAAAAAAAAAATTTATACGCGCGCTATATATACGGAGAGTGCTATTATACGCGCAAATTTAAATCTATGTACGCTGCGCCTACTGCGCGAACCCAATTTACATCACTGGACCTACCTAAACTAGACTAGCAGCCCCACAACTATTATGTTTAGGGTTTGCGTATGATCCCTATCTTGTTCATTACAATGTGTTTGCATCTATACTTCCAAGCAGGTGAGACATTTGTAACCTCACGGCTATTTCCTAACTTGGTACGTACGTACTAACCTGTGACAACCTTTACGCCCTAATACAGTAATATATATATTAAATTGCGTGGCAGTGTAACAGGTAACTTAGCAAACAAGTAATATATATGGGCTAGGTACTACAGAAAAGGGGGAAATCGACAAAACAAAAGATCAATTTTTGTTATAAATTTTATAATAAATTATAAAAAATTACAAAATTCTATTAATACAACTGCTTTATATTTTAAGTGAAAATGACTCTAATCTTATTCTAAATTGATTTGCGTAAAAAAAATTTTTTTTTTGAAAATTTGTCGATTTCTCTCTTTTCAGTAGCACCCTGCCCATATATTACATCCTGCGGGTTACAAATATTGAGATCATTCGGATAAACATAATTTTAAATCCGTAACAGGTAACACATGAATGGGATATGGATCGCTCTGGGTTGTGTGTACAGTACAAAGACTGTATAATAAATAAATTACGGCAAAATCCGATGCCATATTTATCCTCCTCGTTCGCTCGTTGTCTCTTTCTCTTCCTCTTTCCCTCTCACTCTCGCAATTTATATTACCATCCATCATTATTCTTCCTTTTTTTTCGTAATTTTATTTTTTTTGACTTCGTCCAGCTTTTAATATTTGTTTGACATATAAAAATCGGTTGCTAAAATATGGCGGAATGGCTCGACAGTGCTATTGATAAAGGGGACATTGAATATTGTGACTATACTAAATTTACTGCTCGTGAAAAAATTGGTAAAGGGGCATTCGGAGTTGTTTATCGATCAGAATGGAAAGACCGCGGATTAACCATTGCTCTTAAAAGTTTAAACTTACCTTTTTCGGATGAAGAAAAAGAGAAGTCCATACAAAAATTTGTTAAAGAGGTACGTAAGTGATCATCGTTATATAAAATTCTGCAGTATAGCTCTTTAAAGATAAGATCTACAAAATAAAAATTGGGTCTGGGTCAAAATCCCGACAAAAAAAATTTCGGCAAGGTCAAAATCCTGAAAGGTTAGGTGTTAGTGTTTGTCGCCTATTGTAGCACTTAGCCCATATTTATTTATTATAACAATTGTTTGAACGTATTACATATAATCTAATGAACACGCAACATTAAACACTACTTATTTAGCTTAAGAACTTACAAAAAGTTTGCAAGCATCAAAATATTATTGAACTTTACGGAGTTACTCGAGGTCAGTAAATTATAATATATATATAGTAAATAAGAACTAAATGATCTATATTTATCAATAGTTTTTTATTCATACGTAATACGTAGATCTGTCAAATGAATATAATATGGTTTTACAATTTGCAAATAATGGAGATTTACGTGGATATTTAGAAAAAATTTTTTCAAAGTTAGAATGGACTGATAAGATCCGAATAGCCCGTGAAATTTCAGAAGGCCTTGAATTCTTGCATAAAAATGATATTATTCATCGAGACCTTGTAAGTATTAGTCTATTTGATTATATAAACAATCCAATTTTATATTGTATATTTATTAATCATTTTTTTTATTATAGCACTCCAAAAATATTCTAGTTCATGAAGGAAAAATGTTGATTGCAGACTTTGGCCTATCAAGACATGAGGGATCAATTTCCTTAAATTCTGGGAATTATGGGATGGTGGAGTACATTGATCCTCAATGTTTTGTGAACGTAAAGTATAAACCTAAAATGGAATCTGACATCTACAGCCTGGGGGTAATTCTTTGGGAAATTTCAAGTGGCCAACCGCCATTCCAATCACTTAAAGATAGCAACAGCAATATTAAACAAAATCCCACGATCCTCTCTGTTCACATATCCGAAAAAAATTTAAGAGAAAAACCTATTAAAGACACACCAGACTTATACATTCAACTTTACAGTGGATGTTGGGATTTTTGTCCGAAAAAACGTCCAAAATTAAAAGAAATTTTAGAAGTACTTAAAGACCTTTTAGAAAAATCAAGTAAGCATTTTAAATTATCCTATTTTTATGCCAGAGATCGAAAATTATTAACCGATTAAACTTATAATTTTATTTAGATAATAAAGATGAAACAACCAGTCAAGACGATAAAAATGCAACACAAGAAATAAAAATTTCCATAAAACTCGTTGATGAAATATGGAATTTTTATATGCCTAGAGATGTTATCCGGGTCGAGTTGACAGTTCACGGGTCAAAATTTGCCTTGATCCGGGTTAAACGAGTCGAATAAATTCTAATGAATTAATGAATTGGTTTTTTCCAATGTAGAAAATGAAAGAACTTGAATTACGAGCAATGTTGAGAGCTTTTTTGATACAAAATTCATGATATCCTTAAGCACATATACCAACTTAAAATTGTAAATTATCAAATTTGACCTATGTGATTATTGACCCGGGTAACAACTCTATATATGCCAAACACGGAACTTTCATGGGTATTTCAACTAATATTGATATTGGATATGTTTATACGATCTGACAGTGCAAAAACATGGAGGATTATGGATAATGGTATAAGTCAATTCTGAATCAGTCGACTTAGCCAACTATGTTTTAATAAATAGAATAGAATAGAATTAATCTTATTTTAAATTTATTTATAATTGCATATTTACGTTATAGAACTCTTAATCAAAAAAAACATGTTGCAATGGGTTCAGAATTCTGTGAATTCAGAATCCACTTAAGTGAATTTGGATCTTAAATAAAATTTATTATAATACTTCAAATCTTGAATTATTTCTTTTATCGATTTGATTGGTCAAGTATCGTTCTTAGATCGATAATTACTGTATTTAGGGCGTTCTCAAGCACCTCACTCAATGGATCGGAAATAAAATTTTAATTAGTCGGAAATGAATAAATTAGAATAAATTAACAAGTGAGTTACCTGTTACATTTCGATGAACAGATCAGCGAGACACAATCCACCTTTTTTCTTCAAAAATTTGCCATTGATAAAGGTCGCTCAAGCATTACTTTTACATTTTTTACATATCAAACATAATAAACAATTAGTTCTCAACAAATTTCTAACCGGTCTAAAAAGATAGCCACTTTATTTTTAATGTTCGAACAAATAATCGATACCTTGATACGAATGTAATAGATACGATCTATCCTTTAACTTTTAATAAACTATAATGAATACTGTTATTCCATTTTTCACCCATTTAAATTTAAAATCTTCTCAGTAAAGAAGACTTAAAACTGAAAGGTTTGGGTAAATTTTTTCCATATTTGACAGATAGTAAAGAAATTTAAATTGTATAAGGGGGAGTCGACGTAACTAAAGTTGAAACTTTAATGGTTGATCGAAAAGAAATTTTTTCATTAGGTTTTTTAGTTAGTATAGCGAACATTACGAAAATAGACATACGTATGGGCGCATTTTCATTAATGTGATATTTTCGAATTGCACATCAATTTTGTGATTATCTTGAATATTGGAAAGTGCAATCCGGTTGCAGTCCGATTTAAAAAAGGAAATTGGGCTGAATTATGCTGACTATTGGCCAAAATTATCATTTTTTTTTATAACGTTGGTAATAATATGATTTTATGATCATCATATACATCAAATCCGAAGGGTATGCTCAAGCATTTAATTTTATAAATGTCATCATTAATTGTGAAGCAGCACATGATCATTATTTGATAAGAATATAAATTTACCAGGGATAATGATATCCGGAGTAGGTGCTATATGGGGTCTTTGCCTTGAAAATCGAGTTACGGAACATAGTAAATCATATGTCCCATACTTGATTTTCAAGGCAA